ACAATGGATTATCAATGGCTTTGTTAATGAGTTTTAAAAGATCATCAACAATGGTATTCTTTCTTCTTGAAGTATATAATATTTAACTTACACGTAGATGCAACAAATAAACTCACATATCTCATCATCTTTACTAACGTTTGAATCATGACCTTCTACAAGATAAAATACTTGAAAACGATAAAATTGGTTAGTTTTTTTTACTTTAAAATCTTCCTAGCTGGGTTTCAGGTAGTTTTTTGGGTTAAAATGATATAAGTAACCAATTTTCAGATATTCGATATTTTATTTATTCAAAAAATATTTTGAGGAGTTTAAAATTAGAAAATCTAATGGTTTTTGCATTCAGAAAATAGTTCGGATACTTAATTCATACTCCTTTATAAAAAAGAAGTTACAGTTATTTTTTAAATTTTAAAAGACACCACTTTATAAGCTTAATGTGCAAATTAAAGATGCATAACCTCTCAAGTCTTCTAGATGATATTAAAAATGAAAAAAAAATTAATTTTTAAATTACATTTTATACTATTATAATTAGTTATTTAATTTACTTGATATCCTTTAATTTTTTATTTCACATATTTATTATATTAACATACACAATGGTATGTTAACTAAAATGCCTCAAAATATGTGTTTCCCTTTTTTATAAATTACATCATTATAATTGTTTCATCAATATAGATTTTTAAGGGTACAAAAACTTTTAAAAATCATTTTTTATGCATGAAGTACTGTTTATTGATGTATATTACTTAAAATTTAACATTATAAGTAAATTGTGCATAAGTATAACTTATTAAAGCTCTATGTTTGAATTCGTGTAACTAACTGCGGATAAATATAATCAAATTGAGGATAATCGACTCATATTAAAATATAAAAAATCTAAAACATAATTAGAATAATTATTGAGTTCTAACAGAATACTTAATTATTATATTTATAAAAAATATATTATTACTTAAATTAAGTTACTTCGTTACGTTAAATTAAATTATAATAAAAATTTTGAATGAAAAAAATTATACAAACAATAACTTTTGAATAGTTAATTTGATACTAATATTAATATATTTTTTGCAAACTTTATATGATATTTTCAAATTTATATTTATTTAAAAATAAAAACATTATCGCTTTCTCAAAACCACATAAAATCGTATTATATCGACATGGAAAAAAACAAAAAGAAACATTGAAATGAAAATGTCTCGATCGAGTACCCTTCTGGTATTAATATAATAAAGGTGTAAAATGATAAAATAAAAACTAAGGGATATAAAATAAATTAATGACTAATTATAAGGGTATAAAGTGTAAAAAAATAACTACGTAAATTGGCTTATGCAAGAAAATGTGTAACCTATATTTTATTTCTTTTAATTAGAAAAATGTGCCTACACATATACATAAGGTATTTGCATAGAAAGTATTTATTTCGAAAATTGCATTTGAAAAGTGGCTATAAAGTGAATTGAAGTTGACCGACGCTGTATTTTGGTTAATTTCCAAATGCTTTTTGGATTGTATCACGGTCACAACGAACTTCACTTTGGACAGGTTTTGACAACAAATGAGCTAGGTTTACAATATCATTTTCTCAATTTGATATCATCAAAAGATATGAAAATTTGTAATTATCGTTTTAAAAGTAAATTAGTCAACATTGCATCATTGTTAAGAGTTGTGGTTATCTCACAAGGTTAATGATTGTAGGTTTAAGTAATTTCAGTGTTTAGTAAGACCTCCAGTTAAAGATAATACTAGGCCCGTTGATATGGTGCTACATGGTGACATCAGGGTTGTGGAGCATGCTTATTTGACACAAGTATTTCCACATGCACTTAACTTTTTACTAAAAAAATGGATCTTTATAGGACAGACAGGTATAACGAATTTCACCTGGATTACGATGGGAACCACGTCAAACTATTTTTATTACTATTTTCTTGGTTTTACAAGTTTACTTAGTCGAATAAATGTTTTTTGAATGTTGTAATAGTCACCTGTTAGCAATACCAGACTAAAAAAAGATGTTTCTAATGGTCTAAGCATGGACTATGGTGTCGTTATCCTTATGACTTTGATGTTGTATGTCAAGTTGATCAGAATTGATGATGATGATGCTAATGACATCATCCATTCCATAAAGTATGTGTTTCTGTACCATAAAGCATGTGTTTTTGTATCATAAAGCTATAATTGAATAGGTTGTTGCTTAAGGGTGGGTTTTTCAGAATAAGAATGAACCTTAGTGATGCTTCTAATGATTTGAAAGGCTTGGATATTTCTAACTCTTCTAAAGCAACCATGGAAGCCGAGGATATTGTCTTGTGCTTTATTGTGATTTGTTTGAAGAATGGTTATTACTAGAGTACTAGGCATCTTCTTACTTGGCTTAACATTTTAGATCATTTATCCTTGATGAGGCCTATGTGGGTTTACTTTGTCAGGGGCAGGTTCAAATGATAAGTTAAACATTTTGCGAGAAGGCAAGAAGTTTCAATATCATATATGATTACACGCATAGTACACAAAGCTTAATCATATATGATTAAACACATGTTACATTGACAAAATATAGACATTCAATCACATGTGATTAAACACACCCAAAAAACTGTAATCATATATAATATTGAGATATCTCGTCTTCTCGTAAAATGTTTTAACTTTTTGCATGATACTTCTTCTACTTTGTTAGGAAAGTACTTAAGAGGTTTCAGAATTAGGTATTCTTTCATGGTTGACCCAAAGAACTGTAATCAACCACAAGGGTGGTGTCTGATTGGTTTGAGCTTGACTCCAAATGTCAAAAGTACCTAGAGGTCCTAGGTTCAAATCCAAGGAGGAATAAAAATCCCCTTGTGACCACGGAGGTTCAAATGCGGTGTCTTTGGGCTATCTGCAAAGCAGGTGGTCGTTCTGGGATTAGTCGGCTCGCAATGCGGGTTGGATATCCAGGTTAATAAAAAAAAAAACTGTAATCATATATGATATTGAGATATCTCGTCTTCTCGTAAAATATTGAACTTTTTGCATGATACTTCTTCTACTTTGTTAATATGCATAACAAGTTTTGAGTAGACAGTTATATCTATGGTGGGTGTACATCTTGATTTTGTAATTCTTACATTGTTTTGAAGTAAATAAGTTGATTTCAATAACTATGAATCTGAACCGTAAATTTGTTTCAGCTTTTTTGAAGTAATTAATGCATAACTATGAAATAGGAAAAAACATAAGCATTATGAGTGATGTGTAAACAAATATAGTACATTAGTCATGTGTCTTAAATTGCATGTTTCTTCTATAGATTTTTGGTGGGTTTAATGGTATATTTGATTTTAATTTTGTTCTAATAACATACATCTGATCTGAATACAAATGGATAAAATTGGGGACCATGACCAAAATAACCCACCAAATATAAAGAATTAGATTTTCAACCATCAAATTTAAAACATAAAAAAGAGCTTCATTACCCCTTTAGCAACGTGCAATGCGTACATAGGTTGCATTGCAGAAAAAACCTGATATGATAACAGGGACTGAAGTGCAAGAAAGAAAAATTGCTTTGACCGACTCGGCCGGTGTCCTTACGCACCGACCGGTGGGCGGTGCATAAGGTCCCCACCCAAGACCAAATTTTTTATATATTTTTTATTTTTTGCTCATTTCCAATACAAAACACTATTCAATTTTGTCTTTTTCCTCCTCAACCTCATTATATAAATAATTCAAATTTTATATTACCAACACAAAACCAATCCTTTAATCTCCAGTTTCTTAATATAATCTCCATTACCATAATACAATCTCCATTACCTTAATACAATCTTCATTACCGAAATTTAATCGTCTACATCATGGTAAGTTTACAATGTATTAATTTTAATATTATCTCATTTTACAAATTTTTTTATATAATCTCTTTTTTACAATATATTAATTCTAATATAATCTCATTTTTACAATGTATTTTTTATATGATGTTCTTGTAACCTCTTCAAATTGTATCTATCAGGAGGATCATATGAAGCATTTGTTAACTTAAAATCAAGTATTGAAATTTCAAATACAATTTTGAGGGCATTACGGAGGTCGGGAAACCGACTAGAAATGTTTAGAAATACTTGCTTCGGTCATTGGCTCGATATTCGGTCAACACATCAAGATCTGATGCTCGTGCATTTGATGTTACAAATGCAGGTGCTACCACTTGAGCAAAATCGTAAAGAGGCATTGTATTTTAATGTCGGATGACATCTTTTACGTTTCGGGCAAGAAGAACTTTGTTCCGTTACTGGTATGAAACTTGGCCCGAACAAGCATTCGTTACCAGAGATAACAGAGTCGTCCTTTATATATCGGGTTTTAGACCTAGACGAAAATCGTCTGGTACACAGGAGTGATCTTACCAGAGTTTTTGAGCAACAAAAATTCGAAATAATAACCGACATTGATGCAATACGCCTATGTCTTTTGCTTCTGGTTTTCATTGGATTTATCGATCAACAAACGAACAATATAGTCTCTGATGACTATTTACGGTTATTCGAAAATCTGGATGCATGGAACATGTATTTTTTTAAATATGGTACATTTTTAAACTATTTTATTCTATAGTTTTATTACATATATTGTATTACTGATCTATAAAAATTTTATGACACAGGTATCCTTGGGGTAATATTTTTTGGAGACCCTATACTCTCAACTTAATGATGTGTTACTAAAACGCGAAAAAACTCACGTTCAAAAATGTGAGTTGTCTGAACGCAAATGCAGATACACATTGTCTGGATTCGTGTTTGCATTTAAAGAAACTTTTAATTAATTGTTTACTAACCGTAAAATAGCAAAGTTGCATTTGAATTAAATTGCTTACTAACTATAAAATAAATAATATGTAGACATGCATATTGGAAGCATTTCCACATGCTTCGTTTTCTTATGGTTTACGGACAGATGGAATCATCCCTAGGGCATGT